CTCTGCCGCCGCTTCGCTCCCATCTCCGGCGCCCTTCCTCTGCACGCGGCCGCTCCATCCTGTAACTAGGAGGATCATCGCCACCTGCATCCACCTCGGCTACTGACGTCGACGACAGGTTTAACGGGGAACCGGCGTGCAGCACATCGGCGGCGGCGGCCGGAGCATGGCCATTGTCAAACCGGCCGGACTTCTGCAACGGCTGCAGTTCCAACCAGCTGCTGCAGCGGCAGAGGCATCTGTACCTGGCGCTGGATGATTGGAACAATGGCTTCTCGCTGCACAAGCTCAGCTTGGACGACCTGCTCCGCGGCGGCGGCGGGGAATCGGGGAGCCTCCCTGGTCCCGTCATCCGCCTTGGCTTCCTGACGGTCGGCTCACATCCAGGCTTCCACACCCTAGGCACCAACATCATCGTAACCGCCGACTCGGATCGCTTCGGCGCCGAGACTGAAGGCGGCTTGACCCTCGTCTACGACACCGACACGGCTGCGCTGGACATCTGCAACTCTCTCGAGCACCATCTGTCCTCCATGTACCACGCCATGGCCGCCGCCGAGAAGCTCTTCACGTTTGATTTGCACGGCAAAGGCCTATACCTTGGCCCTACCACGTCTACTATCTACCGATACGGCTACCCCGACGGCGACAATGTGCCCTACTGCTGGAGGCCACAACGGCGGTGGATCTGGGACAGAATCCCTGTGCCATCGCCCTTCACCCGCGACTGCGACGGCTACGTCTCGGCGACCGCTCTGCATCCGGACGGCCGCACCATCTTCGGGTTTGTTAGGAGCGACTTTGCTGACGAGCATAAGGGGCCGGAGCAAGAGCGGGACGAGGATGCTCTCAAGGTAGAGCTAGAGCGAGGGAGGAAGCTGCAGCTTGGCACCTTCTCGTTGGACACGAAGAGAGCAGCGAGTGGACGTGCCATGGTGACTGGTACCTGCCGTTCAAGGGCCAGGCACAGTACGACGTCGAGCTTGGCGCGTGGGTTGGCACGAGCACGGTCTACAACAAGGTGGACCACAACTACTATGAGCACCTCTTCTCCCGCGACGTCCCTGACCTCGGCAAGAGATTCACTCAGGCGCCGGCATGGAAAGTGGCGACGGAGAAGCTGACCTTCCTCAAGGCGTCGTTGTGCTCCTCAGCACCGACGGTGGTATGTTCTGCCTCATCGAGCCCACGATACGCGAGGGAGTCGGCTTCACGCGCTCCAGAGGCGATGGTGACAAGTGGCAACTCCATGTGACCATGTTCCGTGCCAAGTATGACAAGAATGGCGAGCTCGTGGTTGCTCCAATCTTGCTTGGTCGGTCGTACCACGTGTCCCGCTATCTCGCTGACTTTAAGGTGTCTGCATTTTGGGTATGATCCCTATCCACTATCTTGTCCTTATCATGGTTTTGGATTTCATTATTGTTTTTTTGACCCCAACGAATTTCATGAATTTTGGATGATTTGACAAACAATTTTTTTCAAATTCAAGTAACATTTGAATGAATACAAACACTAAAATGGTGTCCCATCATACTGCTCGAGTCGAGAACCCACAACACCGCGTCAGAGCAAAATTACTTGTCATCGTTGAGGATGCGTCCTGCAGTTTGTCCATCTTGTGAACGAGACACCGATGGTGTGTGTTGATGAAGATGTCGATGAAGACCACGTTGATGAGGACCTGGTGCCCTATGCACCCGGGAAGCTTCCCCTAGGCGGCGGTGGTCATGGTGGATGAGCGAGAGGAGGAAGATGAGCAAGAATGTGCATGGTAGTGATTGTCGGCCGCTCTTCAAGACCACGACGCCGACGCCGGAGTCTCACCCTTCGGACCTACAGTTACGGTAGGCAAATAGATTGCCGTGAGACGATCTATAGATAAATGACGTTGTACATAGACGAATCTGCACTGCAAAATATGCCGTCCAAATTTATTTTTCTCAGCAGAAATAACATTTACACGACAATATTATTTGAGACATTCCCTAGATTTTATATGTTCTCAAAGGAAAAGAAAATAATGGATACGTTTTGTAAGCAACTGTTCAATCGACGCGTTTATTTAAGAAAGTAAAGATCTAGAAACAAAAACGAGGAATGGAACCACCTAGTTCGCTTCGGCCCAAAGCACATTATTTTGGGCAATGATATGCGCCGGCACCCAAATTTGGTCCAGTCAAGCCGCACCACCACTATGCATGCCCCCCTGGCCACAAAATTCAGTGGCCCCTCCTCCCGCCTCATCCCCACCTTCTTCCTCCTCCTTCTTC